CCTCGCTCGCCTCACTCTGGGCGCCGAGCCGCCAGGTAGCGGCCCCTCGCGCCCTGCGGAACTGAACCCTCTCCTACAAACCTTTGCTTCTGCCGCTGCGGCCGCCTTCCAAGATGCAGGCCGCGCTCCCATCGGCTTCGCTGGTTATTGAAAGACTTGCCGCCATGGCCATGACCTAGGCAGCGGCCCTTGAGCTTCGGCAAGGGTCTCGTGCGCGCCCCGCGCCAGGTGGGCGCCGTCGGCTCCTGCGCATTCTCGCCGTCGCCAGTGCGGGCGCGCGCCAGCGCAGGGCCCACGGAGGCAAAGGCCACTGCGCCGACGGAGACTCCGCTTACCTGGGCAGCAGAGCACGCCCCGTCGAACCGCCTTTCTTGGCTTGCAGCTCGTCGACCTCCACAACGGGCTCGGCGAAGACGACTCTCCTGCGATCCGCGCCCCCAGGCAAGCCCTCGCAGCCTTTGGCTTCGATGCAAACCCTGCTAGATGATGGGGGCCTGGACAATCCAACTCGCCAGCTCGTGGGCGACCTCAGCGAGGGCATGGTGATCGTCGGCAACCGCGTCGCTGACATTGTGGAGGCGCGCTCCGGCGTTGGCCTGCCTGTCTCAGGCGACGTCCGCGCGGGGGCAGCGGGCAGGCACCGTCACCGCTGCGATGGCGTCGGCCCCGAGCATCGCGTGGATGCTGGACCAGAGTCGCGAGTTCGGTGCACTGGGTGCTGTCGCGAAAACACGCCCGCGTCGTAGGCAGTCAACGGCGGCGCTGCAGTCTGCGTTGAGCTCGGTGTCCGCTGGCCCCCGCAGTTGCTGAGCATCCAGACTGCGTAGCCCCCGCCGTCTTTGGCCGCCTGCTGCTGGCGTCGGTCACGCCTCGCGCTGCCGGAGACGACTGCCGCCAGGGCACTGTTGTCGTCGCGCTGCTCGATCGACCACCCTGCCCGCCTGAGGATGGCCGACCTGGCGAGGCCCACCTGGCAAAAGGCGCCCGTGAAGTCACCCTCAGGTCGCCGCTCCCACATCGCATGCATGACGTCGGTGCGGGGCTCCTCCATCGCAGGCGCTAGCAGCCAGCATTTCGCAAAGATCTCGTCGGGTGTTCCCCCGCACGCCCGAACCCTGGCTGCGAGGCGACGCAGGCGGGCCGAGGTGAAGTCCCCGCGCGCACCCGCGAGGACTGAGCGCTCGAAATGCCAGTGCGGCAGCGCATTTTGGGGGGACCCGACGGCGCAACATCTGCACTGTGCTCTCTCGCCTGCGCTGAACAGCCCAGCCCCACTCCCTCGCGCTGAGGTCGTTCCGCGGACCCAGGATGTCGCCGAAGGCGCCCCAAAAAAACAACGTCCGCGTGCCGACTCATCTGGCTAGCTTGGCATGCTCATGGTGGCCTGGGAATCGGCGCGCGCCGAGAGATGCCTCTACGCCGAACTCCGGGGGGCCCAGCAAGGTGAGGTCGAGTCCGTCGCCTGGTCCGTGACTAGCGCCCTCGCCGACTCGAACCTCTAGCCTATCCCCACCATGGTCAACACCGCTGCGCCGATGGGCAGAGCACAGTGCGCCCATGGGGATGCGGGATACGGCTGCCGCATGTCGGGCCTCCGCTGCCTGGTAACTCTGGCAGCTCTGCTGTATGCTGCAAGTCCGCTGCCATCTGCACGGCCGGCAAGGCTCGAGGTCTCGCTGCCGCACCACCTCTGATTTCCCGCAAGCGGAAGCCGAGGGCGGAGTCATTGGGCAGCATGCCTGCACTGCGGGCCGCGGAGTCGCCAAGCGCAGGCCCCTGAAAGGCCCACATGACGCCCGAAAGTGGCCCAAAGGGACCCCTGGAGAGGCCCAAAAATACCCCCCAAAACGGCTCCCGAAGGACTTCCGAAACAGAGGCCTCCCACGAGATCCCCACGGGGCCTATGCTCTGCAACCCAAGCATGGTGACGGATGGGCCAAACGCCACCAGGCGAGCGTGTTCTTATTCGGCGTTGCGACATTGGGCGGAAGGGGAGGGGAGTGGGGGGGGTCTGGCTCAGGACCCCAGCTTCATACGACTGTTTGCAACACTGCGCCCTATGGGGGAGACCCCACTTGCTTAAAACATGCCCCCAAAATAATCAACATCTATTCCATGAGGGGGAGGGAGGGTGCGAGGGCCCGCGCCGATCGGCAAAGCAATGAAAAAGAACACGATCACCAGATCCGCCGCCCCTGCCACAGGGGTGTGCGGCGTGCTGAGTTGCAGCGCTGCCCTGCCTGCCGCGCCACCGTGCCCAAGACGACCAGACATCTACACAGAGACTGCCTCGAAGACTGCCAGGATGGCCCAAGATGGCCCAAAGATGGCCAAGATGGCCTCCAAGACGGCTCAGATGGCCTCCAGAAGTGGTCCAAAGACGCCGCCAAGACGGCCCCCCCCAAAAAAGGCCAAAGTGACCCCAAAACGCCTCCAAGACGGCTCCAGAGGCCCCAAGAAGGCTCCAAGAAGACCTCCAGGAACCCAGAATCATTGCTCTGCTGAGGTGGTCAACAAAATTTGGCGTCCTCGCCAGTTCGCGCTTCCGACGCTCAGAGGCGGCCCCATAGGCCCCAACGGTCGCCCCAGGACGGCCCAGGAGCCCCCCATAAACCTCCAAGACGGCCTGAAAACATCCAAAAAGGCACACGCGACTGCCCGAAGAGGGCCCCAAGACGGCTCAGAGGCCCGACAGTGGCCCCAAGAAACCCCAAAGAGGCCCCCACGAGGCTCCCATGAGGCCCCCAGGATGCCTGAAGAGGGCCTCAAGGGGCCACCTCCTCTTCCGCCTCGTCCTTCCAATCAAACATCCGGGCCAGACTTCGGCTTAACGGTTAGCCGCATGGGTGTTTCCAAAAAGCAAGGGGCGGCGGTCTTTCCGCTGTAGGCGTCTTCGATGATGGTGGAACTGTTGGAGTTGTGCTCGGGTCCTTACGCACCACAGTATAACTGATGATGGTAACGACGACGACAACATCGATACTGATGATGATAAGCATGGTGATTTAGATGATGGTGATGTTGATGCTGACGGTGATGATGATGAGGATGATGATGATGATGATGATGATGATGATGATGATTAGGATGAGGGTGAGGATAATGATGCGAATGATGATAATGATAATGATAATGATGAGGATGACGATGACGCTGCTGATGATGATGAGTATGATGATGGTGGTGTTGATGACGATGGTGATGATGATGACAATGATTATTCCGATGATGATGATGATGCTGATGATGATGGTGATGATGATGGTGATGATGATGATGATGCACCAGGCGTAGCTCGACGCATGTGGTGGACGCACCGGAAAGATTGGGCGGAGAGCTGTATGCGAGGCTACGCGGGTAAACCAAGAGGCAGTCGAGCGAACCCCTGGCGCGCTCGATCGGAAACCAAGTCTAGCAACATCAGTACAATAAGTCGAGCTTCGCGCCGTGAGAAGCGCGGGGGGGGGGGCGATTGCTTTCGCTCTCTCACGTCGACCCCCCCGCCGAGGACAGCTGTTCGTCCCGAGCGGCAAAATCGTGAAGCACGACAAAATATCCCGAAGGCCCTGTGGGCGACCTAAAAGGACACACGAAACCCAGAAGCTCCGTTAAACGAGCTCTCACCACCTGGCTGTCAGCCCGCATCCCGAGGTCGCCCCCGCCGCGGAGCCGACATTCCAGCCCTTGGACATGGTGTGATGGCTTGACGTGTCCGCGTGACCCGCCTCCATCCTCTCTCCTATCGGCAATGTGGCATCCCTCATGCCATTCATGTCACTGCATCTCCTCCTCTCCCTCTCCATCGCCCCCCTACCCGTGCATGAACCTTTACCACCTTCCCTCCTTCTCCTCAAGCAGTCCCCGCACATCACGAACCCCATCTCTCCATCGCAGAAGTGTACAAGGATATGATGGGAGATCGCGGGGGCATGGCAAGGGGGTGCGCTGGCAGACATCAGGCAGGACACCAGACAGAGTTCGTGAGATACTCGACGGGCGCCACGCACGAACGAGAGGACGCAGCAGGCAATGGGGGTGGAGACCAAATTACCCAGATCGAGCGAGTCAAAAGGCCACGCGTATTCCGTCCCCGCCACCCCGAACACAACAATCAAGGGTGGCACAACTTGACCTTATGATTGGAACGGGCTCCCACCTCACAAACGGAAGGCACTGCCGCACGGCCCCGCTTCCGACGACATGGCGAAGGGAAAACCACGCGGGCTGAGCAGGGGCGAGACTGGACGAATTGCCCATGGGCGCGGCGAAGACGAAGCACGCGCCGCGCAGGCACACCACTGCCCCCATTCACTAAAAACTGCGCGCCGCCTGGGCGAGGACTGCATTTCGCCGGCTCGCGCGCGGCCTCTCGGGACACCAGAAGGTACCGATGCCGCCACTCCCCGGACCTCTCCTGGGGTGCGTTCCGACCACGATTTCGAGGCGAAGCCAGCGGTGACGACGACGGAGGCTTAGGAGGCCCCCCCAAAAAGGGAGACGAGGGGGGGGGGTAGAGGTATGGGTACACCCTGCGAAATGCTCAAGAAATCATGGGTTAAGAAATTCACAGTCTCAGAAATTGAATGAAACCCAGAACTTCTATCAAAATCTTGGGATTTACATTGGAAAATTAAGAATAATCGAGACTCTGGACGAAAACTTAGGTTTTTTTAAGCATCGCCTAAGGTGTACCTCGTTTCCTCCTCTGAGCCTCACTGCCGCTATCGCTCTGCACGCGGTCCGGGGAAAAGGGACCACGTGCCGCGCCGGCCCCTCCTGCTCCCTGCTCCCCCTCCTCCCTCCTCCTGCTCCTCCTCCTGCTCCCTGCTCCCCCTCCTCCCTCCTCCTGCTCCTCCTCCTGCTCCTCCTCCTGCTCCTCCTCCTCCTCCTCCTCCTCCTCCTCCTACTTCTCCTGCTGCTCCTCCTCCTCCTCCTCCTACTTCTCCTCCTACTTCTCCTCCTACTTCTCCTACCTCTCCTCCTCCTCCTCCTCCTCCTCCTCGCGAGCGGCTCCGCGCGCGGAAACGCGCACGGAGCCCGGGCGAGGGCGGCCCGTCGCCCGGCCCCCGCGCGGGCCCCCCCCCGCAGAGCTGGCGAGGGGCCCCATCGCCGCGCCGGGGCGGGCACGCCCTCGTGCGGGCGGCAGCTGCGCGGCGCCGCCGCGAGAGCCACGCGAGGCGCCCGTCTTGCCACCGCCACCACCAGAAGCTGGAGGGGGGAGGGGGTCCTCCTCCTCCTCCTCCTCCACCTCCTCCTTCTCCTCCTCGTCGTCGTCCTCCTCCTCCTCCTCCACTTCCTCCTCCTCCTCCACCTCCTCTTCCCCCTCCAACTTATGGTGGTCGTGGTGGAAGACAGGCCCATCAAGCTGCTGCATGTTCGCCCGCTCGCGCGTCGACGACGTGGCGTGCGAACAAAAATATGCGCCGCACGCCAGCGGGAGCTCCGCTCTCCAGAAACATGACAACGCAGGGCCGGGGCGAGAGAGACAGTTCGGCCCTTCGCGCGGTATGCACGCCCCGTCCCATTCGAGTCACGCATGTTGCAGCACGTACGCCAGAACGCGCATATTGAGACGAAAAAGCCGGCGACCTTGCTTTGATCTCAGGTGGCCCTATCTGAACGCCTACCCCCAACCACCCCGACGTCGAAGGGGGGATGCAGCTTCACTCACTCCGCTGGGGAGCTCCCGAACGAATTGAACCCCCACTCACCCATCCCAGAAATCGTGTGGGGGGCATTCACATGTGGCCACCGAGCTCTTGTTGCTTACAGGCAGGACGGGACCACAAGGAGTGGGCGACCATGGGCCGGCAGAGGCCCAGAGTGGGAGCCTACCATGAGAAGGGATAGGAATGGAGGGGGGGAAGAGCGAGGGGGCAAGCACGGGGAGACGGGGAGGACGAGGGGGGGCGGCAGGGAAGGAAGCTCCTCCTTCTCCTCCTCGGGAAGGAGCAGGACGCGCGCGGTGCTTGCACGACGGTGGCGGCATGGGCGGAGCACGCGACGGCGGCAGATCCGCAAGGGCTCTTCTCCGACTCAGAGCGCGCTCGCATCATCTGCCGTCCCAGCTGTCATCCTCGGGGGGAGCAAGGAGGAGGAGTGAGAAGGAGGGCGACGGAGAGAGGGGCATAAGGACGAGAGGCAGAAACACAAAAAACAAGAAAGAGGGAGCATGGAGGCGGAAAGTGATGTACGGAGATAGCGGGGGAACAGCATGAAGATGCTCAATCCGCGCTCCACCCACCCACCCGCCCGCTCCTTCACTCTCTCCTGTCCCGGAGTAGCATGTGGCGTTGCTCTGGCCCCAGCCGCAAGCCAGACAGCACAGGGGTCCCAGGGACAAGTTACGCGCGAAAACTGATAGACTTGCCAGGCGAGGTGATGGGTAATGGCGCTGGCCACTTATACTCTTTTTACTGCTACGTTCTCCTCCTCCTCCTCCTTTTCGTTTCCTTATAAATGACTTCTCCCTGTCGCACCCCGAGGCAAGATTTTAGGGCGGGCCGGTCGTCTTCAATATGTGACTCTCACATTGGCGCCGCGCACATTCGTTTCAAATATGTACAAGGGTTTGACGGATTGAGGGCGGGTCGTTTTCAAAATGTGGCCCTCGCCGTCACACCGCACACATTCGCTCATAAAATTTAGAAGGGTTCCACGGATTCCCATGATCAACGTACCAAGAATGGTGATTTCCAAAAATAATGCGGGTGCAACAGTTATGTTGATCCGCTGTGCTGAAATAAAAAAACGGCGTTCTAGCAAGATTCCGGATCGTCAAGACGCAGCAATCTGGTTGATCCGTGGCGTTGCAATCCAGAGAGCAATGTGCTGGCATGCTTCAGGGTCTTCAAACGGCTGTCTTGCAACGAGGCAGTTCCCTCAATGGAAATGAACGGCTGTAGGGGCCTATGAAGAGGGAGCTTGGCGGGAGGGTCGATTCCAGCATCGTTGATGACTCCGTGGTTTGCACTGCTCCTCCTCCTCCTCCTCCTCCTCCTTCTTCCTCGTCCATGAATCCCTCCCCCTTGCAAACCACTCGCCATGTCGCACAACCCGGACGCATCGTCACATGTTCAAAACGGGCCCCCCGTCTGAACCCTCTCTGCCTCAAAAACACGAGGCTAACACCGTGCGCAGCCACACAGGCGGAGGGCGGTCCCTTTTTTAAAAAAAGGCTGCCGCGCTAGACTGCATTTGGTCTTCCACCCTGTCGTGCGCCATATAGCTCGCTGGATGGAGGGCAGTCCAGCGTCAAAATTGGGCTCCCGCCCGAATTTACGGAAACAAAGAAAGTACATGAGCATTAAAACTTACCAGGTCTGCGCGGATTTCTCGGATCGGCGCTGGATCCCCCTCCCTGGCGCGCGGAGCGCGCCAAGGGCGGCGCCGGAGGCGCCGCCAGGGGGGTCCAGCGCGGATCCGAGAAAACCGCGCGGACCTCTGAGTTGTCATGTTTATCTTGTTGTTCGTTCCCGTAGAATTGTGGTCCCCTGGGGCGCTCGCGTTTCAAAGGGACGCCCGGCGCAGTGAACGCCACAAATAGGAGGAGGAGGAGGAGGAGGGGGAGGAGGAGGAGGAGGGGGAAGAGGAGAAGGAGGAGGAGGAGGAGGAGGAGGAGAAAGAAAAGCCATCTTCCCTCCTCTTCCTCGGAATGGAGGGCCGACCGGCCTCACACTGCCCCGTGGTCCAAACCCGGGCAAACGGCGATGTTGCTTAACGGCGAGGTTGAGAATCTGATGTTTAAGACCCCCCGCTCGCAGTGTAAACTCGATGAATTCGGTGCCATGGCGCACTTACTTTCCATCTTGACGAAAACAAGCTTCAACATCCTTGTTCAAGTGTTCCCGAACGCTTACAGGCGTCAACGCCGTGCGCGCGCCGCACGTGCAACTGTCGCGCGCGCTCGTTTGAACTCGGACGTCGTTGCGACGCAGAGCCCACGCAAAACGAAGTGTAGGAAATCACGAACCACCGTGTCCTACATTTCAAATGTGCGAATGTATCGAGCGAAAACGACACCGCGAAATGTAGGGAATGCACGAACCACGCTTTCCTACAAAAGGCTCGGCCACCAACAACGCTTTCCTTCAATCGTTCTTCCTGCGTCGCCGTTATCCGCGTCGCCGTTTAACCGTCTACGGCGCGATATTCTGAGTTCGTAGGAAATCCAATGATAAATGCAAACGAGGCTGCTTTTCATGCAGGTCGCACCTGCGAGACACGGTTCCCCCGAAGCCAATGCCGCCAGCACGCGAGCCAGCCTCGCCTACAATACCAAAACCTACATCGCCGTTAGCTACATCGCCGTTTGCCCGTCTACGGGTGGGGGTGTGGCCGAAAGGACGCCCACGGCGCACATGGAATCTGCACTCCTGAAAAGCAACGGCCACACGGCCGGCGCCGCCGACCCCGAAGGGGGACGGCAACGACGACGACGGATGCGGCGATTTCGACGGCGACGCTGACGCTCTAGGAGGTGGACAAATACTAGTCGCCGGTCGTTGAGAATACGTATGTTCGGCCCCCCACCGGCCCCGAATGCATAACCCTGGTCTTGCCCCTCTCAGCCGTCTCCGTCTTCCCTCCCTTCAGCAGAAAGGACGGCCGACCTAAACTTTTGGCGCTCCGCGTGCATTTCTCGGATTCGCGCTGGACCCCCTCCCTGGCGCGCGGAGCGCGCCAGGGGCGGCGCTGGAGGCGCCGTGTGGGGACCCAGGCGCGGAAACAATCAATCCGCGCGGAGCGCCAAAAATGTATGTTCATCTGGCTTTTTCTTCGATCTCAGCCCGTCCCGGTCTTCCCTCCTCTTCAGCAGAAGTGAAGGGGCCCTGGGACACACAAATAAAGACACACACATAAAAAGATCCCCCATACTTTTTCCTATACTCTGGGTCTTTGTCTCCCCGCACAATTCCAATACTCTCCCATATTTTTTGGGGGGGAATCGACGATTCGTTGTCTCTGTGTGTTTTTCCGCCCCTCCCTCTTCAGCAGAATGGGGCGGCCGACCTGCACCACACTGCCCCCATTTGGGGGTGCGGCCGCGTGGGCGCCCACCGCGCCAACCCGGCAGCTGCACACTCCTGGAGAACACAGCGGCCACACGCCCGGCCCGACTGGAGGGAGGGAGGGAGGGAGGGAGGGAGGGAGGGAGGGAGAAGTGAGGGAGGGAGGGAGGGAGGGAACAGGAGGAGGAGGAGGAGGAGGATGAGGAGGAGGAGGAGGAGGAGGAGGAGGAGGGCACGCGAGAGGACACGAGGTCCCTTCGAGGGCTGCGCGGCGGACTTCGGACACCCTGGGGGCGCATTTGTCACTTCCGCCGCCTTCCGCCGAGCTTCCGCGGGCTGCCGACGGCGGAGGCGGCCCCGTTTTACCGCCGACCTTCCGCCGCCTTCCCCGGAGGAAGAGATGATAACTCCTTCTATCCTCGAAGGCAAGGCCCTTTTTTGGAACGCCTCACATTGCCATAGGAATGTAACGGGCACAGATCTCTACGGACAAGAGACCAGAATGCCCTTGACTTGGCAGGGTCGACCTACTAGTCAAGGCCGACTGGACACGCCGGTCGGAAGAAGTAGGTAAAAACATAGGGTAGGAGGGCGGATGAAGTAGATTGGGCGCAGGCCCTTCCAGAGAATAACAAAACAATTCAAAAGCTGATTCGATACTTGCAGAAGGAAGGCGCCAACGACCAACGAGTACTGGTCCACTTCCGAGCGTCAGCGTCGCCGTCGACGTCGCCTCCGCCGTCGTCGTCCCCCTTGGGGGTCGGCGGCACCAGCCGTCAGATCTTCGCATTTAGACGCTACTTGTCCTCCTCCTTCGGTGCGAAGTGTAGTCTCCCAATTGAGGTTCCAGCCTGGACTCTCGCACCATACACTCTACAGTCGGACCCAGGAGAGAAGAACATCCTTCAAGAACATTAGACCCTCCGTCGGCCAAACAGAAAGTCCAGGGTTACCCTTGCCTGAGTACACCAGAACATGCAACAAGCACGAAGAACACCAGGGTATCCCCCCCAGCCGACCTCGATCATGTACCCGTACCTCGGCCCGACTGTACCAGAACAACTCTTTGCGCTATGACTTCGGTATGTTGGCCCCCGCACTGGAACAACAGCGGCTTCCGCCGGAGACTTCTCGCACAGACACGCTCTCTCCCGAACACCTCCTGGCAAGCTGCTACAGAGCTTCGAGCTCCCGCCTGGGGCGTCGTTAGGATTGGTCTGAGACTCGCCTTCTCAGAATGAAGGCGCCCTGAGACACACAAAGAAACACAAACAAATAAAACGATTCCCCATATGTTCCCATAGTTTCTGGGTTTCTGTCTTCCCCCCATTGCCCATATTTTCCTTTTTTTTTGTGTGTGTGTGTGTGTGGGGAATCGACGATGAATTGTGTCTGTGTGTTCTTTCTCCTCCTGATCTCGCCCAAACGAAACACCACAATGCCATGAACATAAACTCTTGGCGCTCCGCGCGGATTTCCTGGATCTGCGCTGGGGCGCCTCTCCCTGGCGCGCGGAGCGGGCCAGGATGCGGCGCCGGCGGAGCCGCCGGGGGGGGCCCGGGCGCCGGTCCGAGAAATCCGCGCGGAGCGCCCAAAGTGTACGATTACACCCTGCGAAATGCTTAAGAAATCATGGGTTAAGAATTTCATAGTCTCAGAATTTGAATAAAAACCCAGAATTTCTATTTAAATCTTGGGATTTACATTGAAACGTTAAGAATAATCGAGACTCTGGCCGAAAACTTAGGTTTTCTTAAGCATCGCCTTAGGTGTACAGTGCTGGTTTTTTTCGATCGCCGCTCAAGAGTCGCGCCCTCGCCTGGGACTCCCCCGCGATTGCTCCCCACTCTCAGAAGCCAGGCGAAGCCTGGCAAGCCCGCGGCTGCTGAAACAGAGCTCTGGAAAATGGTGTTTTTCTTCCAGGAAGCAGCCCGTTTACTATGTAGCGCGCTGAGCTGTATTCGGGGAACATGTTTTCGAAGGGGCCTCAGGACATACAAATAAATACCCACAATTCCCATGATTTCCCATATTTTCCCATATTTCTTGGATTTTCGTCGTCTCCACAACTTCCCATGTTTTCGCGTATTTTCCTGGGAATCGACGATTAATTGTGTCTGTGTTTTTCCCCCTCCTAAACATCAGAAAGAGCGTGTTCTACCGCTGCTAGCGGAAAACCGGGGGGGGGTTCGAACCCCTCCCCCCCCCCCCCTCCGGAAAACCGGGGGGGGTCACTACCGGTTCGAACCCCTCCCCCCCCCCCCCTGCTCATCATGAAAAGGGGGGGGGTCACTACCGGTTCGAACCCCCCCCCCCCCCCTCGGGATCCGGAAAACCGGGGGGGGGTCACTACCGGTTCGAACCCCCCCCCCTCGAAAACCGAGTGGGGGTGCGGACAGTGGTGGGGACGGTGTTGGTGGGGACAGTGGTGAGGGGATAGCGGGACAGTGGTGGGGACAGTGGGACAGTGGGACAGTGGTGGGGACGGTAGTGGTGGGGACAGTGGTGGGGACAATGGTGGGAACAGGGGGGGACAGTGGACAGTGGTGGTGACGGTGGTGGTGGGGACAGTGGTGCGGGGACAATGGGAATGAGGTGGAAACAGTGGGACAGTGGAGGGTACAATGGTGGTGGGGACAGTGGTGAAGGCGGTGGCGAGGACGGCGGTGGGACAATGGGACAGAGGTACAGTGGGGACAGTGGTGGGGACAGTGGGGACAGTGGTGGGAACAGTGGGACAGCTCAGTGGGACAGCGGAGGAGTCAGTGGGACAGTGGGGACAGTGGGGATAGTCGGGCAGTGGTTGGGGCCGTGGAGACAGTGGGGAGAGTGGAACCGTGGTGGGAACAGTTCTGGGGACAGCGGGGACAGTGCGACAGTGGTGGGGCCACTGGTGGGGACAGTAGGGGCGGTGGTGGAACCAGTGGGGACAGCGGTGGTGAGGACAGTGGTGCTGGGAACACCAGTGGGGGATGTGATGCGGACGGTGGTGGGGACCGGGAGTCGTTTGCTGGCGGTGAGTAGGGGGGGGGGGGGGGGGGGTTCGAACCGGTAGTGACCCCCCCGGTTTTCCGGATCCGGAGGGGGGGGGGGGGGGGGGAGGGGTTCGAACCGGTAGTGACCCCCCTCGGTTTTCCAGCCGGAGGGGGGGAGGGGGGGGGGGAGGGGTTAGGGGAGGGGGGTTTTCCGGGGGAGGGGGGGGGGGGGGGGTTCCTGCAGGCGGGGGGGGTCCGCCCGCCCACCCCGACCCCCGCCGGGTCCTGTGCTTGACACGCCACCGCCTACGTCAGCTTCGTGTCGTGCCGACTTCGGCGTTGGTTTCTGTCACCGCGGGGATCGTTCGACCTTGAACGATCGGCCGTTTCCGAAACGTCCAAATCATTCCACATCGAACGATTCTGGCTCGCCCGCGGCGTTCAACGTTGAACGCCGCTGGCAGAATCGCCGCTGGTCAACACGACACGAACCTACCGTACTTGGCCGCTACGGCGAATTTCCGTGCGCTCTGGCTGCACTGGGCAACCTGTGTCTGGAACTGTTAGGGGAACGCAGAACGACATGAACATAAAAACTCGGATGTCCGCGCGGATTTCTTGGATCCGCGCTGGACCCCCCTCTTTGGCGCGCGGATTGCGCCAAGGTCGGCGCCAGAGGCGCCGCCAGGGGGGTTCAGCGCAGGCCCGAGAAATCCACGCGGACCTCCCTAGCTTTTTTTGTTTATGTCATTGTTCGTTCCCCTAACTGTGCCATCGCGGTTGCAGCTCTTCTCATGAGCACGGTCTCCTTCGCTTCCAACGAAGAAAGGCTCAATCGCGGGAGTTGGAAGAGAATGCTCATGCGGTTTAAGCGTAGCTCATATTCTGCATATTGTACCACGTGCACACGTACCTGTATACACACATATGCTTGTGGCAGTGTCTATCCTGCATTTCGCGAACAGCGCTTGAACAACTTCGAGCATCATCACATGGCTTTCAGGATCCCAGCATGCGTGGCAGAAAAGTTCAAAGTTGCTCCCGCTCTTCCTCGCCCCTGCGCTTGCTGCTGCATCATCCCCACCTCCTGTTGCTGCGGGCACATTCTCCGCCCCAGCTGTTCTTGCGTGATCCCTCCCCTCCTCCTGCCCGAGGAGGGAGCACCTGGGGAACGCCCATCCCCAAGCAACAGCCCTTGACCAAGTATCGGTCTCCTCGTCGTCGAAAATCTGCTCCACGTCCTCGAGTCTCAGCTTCGAGGCGTCATCCTTCGTCTCCGCCTTGGAGGTGTCCTCGGCAATAAAGCAGAGCACAGTTGAGAAATTTGAATAGGTGGGGGATTGTCGAATCGACATGGTCCCACACACCAAATCTGCATCTTGCATCTGGAGAACTTGGGGAGCGAACGACGAGTGCACCATAGCCCACCACATGTGACTGCCGCTTGGGCGCACGTGACCCATGGCTGCAGAGTGCCCCAGTGGTTCAGCGACCGTTGTCCCAGCCCGCTCCCTCCCCTTCGGGGGGGGGGGGGGAAGGCCGCCCCCCCTGCTCCGCGCCAGGAGCCTCCCGGACTACTCTTTGGACCAGGTCTGAATGAAAGGGTCTGAGGACACACAAACAAATGCACACAAACAAACAGATTCCCAATAGTTTCCCATATCTTCGGGCTTTTTGTCTCCCCCCCCCTATTTTCCCATAGTTTCCCATATCTTCGGGGGAAC